ATATTTTTGGAGGAGTTTGTTCTTCTCAGGATCCATCTGCAGCAGTTTACCTGGAGATGATCAGTGTTTGGACCATCACCATCTTCCTATTGTCCTCTATTGGCAGATGTTGACTGGGTGCTGTAGACAGAATCATTAAAAAGACAATTGTCTTTCGGTGGTATATTTTCATTCAGGATTCAATAGGTTAATTACCCCCTTTTTCTGTTGATCCACCAGGCCTGAGACTGGAACTTAGAGAAGCTACATCCTGGTCAGGACTGCAAAATTTCACTTTTTAAATGTAAAATATGTACAAGAATTCATGGAACCTGAATTTTCTTTTTCTGTCCCTCTTGTCCTCTGTTGCCAGAAGTTGACTGGACCTTGTGTCAGTTTGCCCGAGCGGTCAGGAGGCAAAGCACAAGAGAATGATTCTCCAGGTGGTACTGTATGTGTGTTTATTCCACACATACAAAATCAACCATTTTACAATAACCACAACAACAACAATACTGATGATGATGATAATAATCCTCACAATCCAATACTCCAATGTACTTCCAATACAAACTCCACCACTCCATTTTCAACAAACATTTCTCCGTCCCTTTTATCCCTTTCCCCTTAATCACATGACTGATTGGCTCAAACCATTGAGTGGTGTTTTTACATATTTACACCTATCTTAATAAACCATAAATATTTACATAAATACAAAATATACAATATAAACACCTAGTTGCAAACCCATATACCATTAATAAACACCACAAATACATACACATGAATATATGAACATGAACATATTTACGGAACCCCACACAAACTCCCCTACTCCCACTTCCCACTTACTACTGTCCTCCAGAACCATACATAAGGGCCACGTTCCCCGGGGACCTGTCTTGACCTGACACCATGTGAAGACAGAGCAGCAGTTTGTGGTAAGTTTCCCTTTGTGTTGTTATGCACTAGCTCAATCCACAATATACTTGGGTTTGTTTAACGAGTCTTCATACTCGTATATTTAGTCTGTGTGTCTGTGTTTTGTGTGTTCAGGCGGTTGAGCAGCGGCAGCTAGCAAGCGGACCACGAGGCGGACCGGCCCCGCGCCGTGCGTCTCCGCCCTCGCCGGCAACGCACACCCGAACACGACCAACCACTAAATGTGCTTCTTACACATCTCCTATGTGTACCCCTGAATTTTCTTTTTCTGTCCCTCTTGTCCTCTGTTGCCAGAAGTTGACTGGACGTTGTCAGGGAAAAAAAACTGAAGTGAAAATCAGAAGCATTTTTCCTATGAAGAACACTGTTGAAGATAAGTTTGTCCTTTTTTGGTAAATTTGGTTATACGTTGAGCTCACAGATGTTTAAAACATTTAGTTTTGTGATAATTTAAATTAAACAATTGTGTCAAATTGACTGTTTGGTCTTTAATGTTTTTAAACATTGTAGACATTTAGGTCTGGCTTGTCTCCCACTGCCAAGTTCATTTCCTACTAAAGACTTGTCTGCCCTTCTGTGGCATTTAGAAAATGTGTTGGGAGGCCTCCCAGCAGAGGAATGTTGTAACTTTGTCCTCTGCAAAAAATTAATTCGATACACGCAGGGCCAAGCTGGCGAACTTATTAATACACTGAAGTAATGTGGTAGGCACACAGATTAGATTGCGCGTTTAGGGTTTTCAGAAGAAAATGTGCTTGGCTAAGAGACAATCCAATACTCATTAAAGATTAAGATAATATTTACTACTACTTTAAAAATGTTTTAAGTAATTCTGTGAGCTAACTAGCAGAACGTAAAGGAACTGATAGGCTTCTGCTACTGATGGTAATGTCTGCTGAATTAAAATTTTTTTTCTTTGTTTTTCCTTCCCCTTGTCCTCTGTTGGCAGATGTTGACTGGGTGCTGCAGAGAGGATCATTAAAAAAATAAGTTTGTTTTTCAGTGGTATGTTTGCATTCAGGATCTGTTAGGTTAATTACCCCCTTTTGATCTACTAGACCAGAGACTGGAACTTGGAGAAGCTACATCCAGGTCGAGACAGCATAATGTCACTTTTCAAATATGTGCAAGAATTCAGGGAACTTGATTTTTTTTTTTTAAAATTTATTTTTTTATCCCTCCCTCTTGTACTCTGTTGGAGATGTTGACTGGACCTCGTCAGTGACGAGATGTACAGGAAACCTGATGACCATGTGAAAAGCAGAAGCATCGTTCCTATGAAGAACACTATTAAAAAGTTAAGTTTGTCCTTTTTTGGTATATAAAGTTTATGATGCGTTGAGCTCACAGATGTTTAAACATTTAATTTTGCATGATAATTTAAATTTCTGTGTAAAACTGGTAATAAAA